ACACCTTCAACATGCATCCCCAAGAAAACAAAGAAAGTAATGAACTCCAACCAACCACGACCCGCAGCATCACACTCACTCCCCCGAGAGAGAGCCCTAAAACTTAAACTCAGCATCATAAACTTATGGATCCCAAACCCTTAAACCTGCAAGTATTACCTACATTGCGCTACTTGGAGTCTTAAGCCCTTAACCTAAGCATTCAGCCCTAGACGCCAGGCCCCCAAGCCTTAAACGCTACACCCCAAGCCCCAAACCTCGGCCCTAAAGCCTAAAGCCTGTAAACCCTAAGCTGCAAGTCCTCAACCTGTACGCCATTTGGCCATGTGATGGGGGGAGGAGTGGGATTTTTCGGAGCCCGACCAGCCAGAGGAGACGATTTTGGGCTTAGGGGTGTATGTGGTAGGGGTTTAAGATGTTGGGTCTTAGGGATTTGGTTCTCTAGGTTTTAGGGTGAACAGCTTGAGGGTTTGGGGGCGAAGAGGTTCGGGGCTTGAGACTTTTTAGTCGAGAGAGATGAAGGGTTTAGGAGTCTACTTCTTAGAGATTAAGACTGGGGGTTCACAGCAACCCAGAATGTACTCTGGACCAGCCCAAGATTTCACCCAAAGCCCCAAGGCACGCACGACATGCTGTTCAGGAAGTTTCATGTAGTAGTTGTTGAAAATAGTGTGGGAGCCTGATTAGTGTGGGTGCGGCCCCCCTTGCCCCAAACAAAAAGGGGAGCCCCTATAACAAAAAGGCCTCAAAACAAATTGGGGGTCTGGGGATCCTACGGCTCCTACTACAATCAATTAAGGAAAAGGGATCATTCGGCTCCTATCCAATCCATAACGACTTGCTCGATCTAGCTTGCAAGAGAATAGGAACGGCGAACGGCAGGGTCCTCGGCCTTTACGTCAAACGGCGTGGTCTTGAAAACCTAGTAATACTGTAAAAGCAATTACAATCCGATTAAAACCGTAGAAAATGTCTTCAACATCTATCAAAAAGGAATTTGATCGAAACTTTCCCCGATTTTTTTCCGGCCGAACTTTTCTTTATTGGGACCCTCCAAATCGAATAGGGGGTCCAGAATAATTGTCAAAACACTTTACCTCGTTGGGGACCCCTCGCTAGTCGGGATTCAGCATTACCGGTCCCCAAAAGTTGCGAAAATACTGGTTCCCTGCTTTGCTATATACAATTAGGACCCCCTTTTAAGGAAGCGTATTCCCAAAGGTCCCCCATGTCATGGGTTGGTGTTTAGGGTTCAGGGGGGGCCCTCTACCACCCACGGCCCGTACTGCCCCGCCTAGGTTCACAAGTTTTTCCAGAGTATTTCGGGCGAATTACCCTAGGGGAACACACGGGGGGGTAGTGCAGGGCAGCTCGTGATTGTAACATGGCTATATGGCGATATACCCTCCCCCAATCTAACATGGAACCCCGTATTGTTCCTAGCTAAAAGGGGTGGGGGGTAGTCTACAAAAGGCCCCGTTTGCCAGAAAACGATGACCTTGAACTTAGTTGAAGCTCTAAACTCTAAACCTCAAGCCCTAAACCTACACCCAGCAACCCAGTGGCCGTAAACCAGTTTGGAGTGTAGTATTTTCAGACAAGAGGAGATCAACTGGAGCTGCGAAGAAGAGGATGAGGGGGTCGAACAGGCAACCGCCGCAGTGTCATCAAGCCACTTCCAGGTCCAGGACATGCCGTATTAAGGGTGTAGGGTTTAGGGTTTAGGGTTTAGGGGCTCAGGGTTTAGGGTTCAAGGTCTAGGGTCTAGGATCAGGTTTAGGGTTGAAGGCTTCGGGTCTAAGATTTATGGTTTAGGGCTCAGGGCTTTAGGGATATTACCACCCAACAATGGAAATCTAGTGGGCAAGAACATGAAAGATTAGACGGAGACTGGGAGTAAACAGGGCTTATGGGGATTAAGGTTTTGAGTTTGCCTGTAACCGCGATTACCTATACAGCTTAGTAGTTCTTACCCCTTAAGTAGTAGGTAGAACCCATAGAACTCTAGGTTATTGGGATTACAGGTGGTGCTTCCAAAAACCCAGAGTTCTCCCCACCTCCTGCGTTGTTAAACTTGCTCACCCTAAATCAATACGATTTTCACCAGGCAAGACCAACAGGATCTTATCTTAGGAGCTTCGAAAACTTAGCACAACACCTAGGCCGGCTTCTCCCAGGAATAGTAACGGGATCTTATGTCAGAAGAAAACTACAATCAGTGCTGTTGGCAGTTGTCTCATTTGAAACTAGAAGCAAGAAAGGCCCCAAAACAGAAGGCCACACAGACCCCTTGTCAAGGCTTACTCAGGGATAATTCAGGCTAATTAGTGGGGGACCTTGGGGGTAGTATAGGGGGCGGTAGTAGGGGTCCCGGAAGCCTTCCGCATTGCAGGACATCGTAGATGCTGGTCAAGATGATCGGCTGGATGTGCCTGACATTCAGGAAGATGTTTCTGACGTAGCCTTGCTACCAGGGCAGAAAGGGCCACCAACACAGACGCCCCTCCACCAGCTGGACTTGCTTGAGGTTCAGGAGGATGCTTCTGACGTAGCACAGCCGCAGGGGCAGGAAGGGCCGCCAAAGCAGGCCCCTCCTGAGCGGTTGGATTTGCCTGAGATCGAGGAGGATGCTTCTGATGTTGCCATGCCGCAGGAGCAGGAAGTTGCTCCAACACAGGCCCCTGAAAAAACGGCCAAGCAGAAGAAGCGCGAGTGGTTCATGCAGAAGTTCCCAACGTTGCCAGCTAAGGGAGCCTCCAAGGGTGCGCCTGCACAACCACGGCTGGATCGGCGGCCCCTGCCCCCGCTGCAAAAACGTGGCGGACGCGCAAGGGCCCCGCGCCGCATTCCGAGAGAGGAGTGGGCCTATCGACCCTTGCCAACCCGCAAGTCTGTGCAGGGAATTTCCCATCTGCTCCTCAAAGAGTTCGCGCAGTTAAGCCAGCTGCCAGACATTGACAGCCTCCTGCCGCCTTTGTAAAACAGCTGCCTTGGTGCTCAATGCTCAACACATGTCAGCCTGAACTCTTGTGTCCCGTGCTGGGTCCTAGTTTTGACGCGAGGGATCTTCCGCTGCCCCAAGAATCACAGTTTTTTGGGAGTCCGAGGTGGTGCAAGATTTTTCCCATCTACATTAGGGCACTTTTGAGAGCAGTGGACGTGTCATTTCTGTCCGTCAAGGTGTTTAGAAGGTTTTTGGGAGTGTTTCAAAACCAGCTCTTTGGAGACCTCTATACAAATTCGCGGAGCTTCGCTTGGATTCGACATGTATCCCTACGGTGGATACTAGAAATACTGCATGATCCGTACTTCAATTCTTGGGAATTCCTGATATCATAGTATACTAAGCTTAAGCTTACGCAGGGTTTTTTTATGTATCAGTAGTAGGTCTCTGGGGGTAGCCCTATTTTTTTCAGAGCTTTGCGCAGCTCCTCTCCAAGAGTTTCTCGAGATGGGGTCCCCAGGCGGATGCCGGCGACGGATGAGCTATAGTCTCAAGTGCTTAAAGGGGTCATATAGGGAAATTAAGTGGAATACTCGGAGTGTAGATTATTTCTCAGGTTAGAGAATTACAGTGAGATTCCAAGGCGGATTACGGGGGTCTTAGTAGGGATTATAAGCGTATCATGTTCAGAGGTACTCATTGTATCAAAGTCCTGGTACCTCGTTCCGGCTGTTTAGGGTTTAGGAATCGAACGCGGAACATGAAACGGAAACTGGGGTTGTATGGGGATCAATAGGGATTAGAGTTTAGAGTTCACCTGAAACCCTATAGAAATCCAGTTCAGTAGTAAGCACGCCCTCCTTAGTAAGTCTGACACATAAAGCTGTAGGCAGCTGGGCTTACAGATATGGAAAAAAGGAACAGCAGAGAAGAGATGAATAACTTGTGTGTTTGATGCACATTGGCTCTGAAAAGCTCCTTCGGGTCTTCGTAGAATGCTATACCACACGCATCTTCACACGCCCCACCTTCAACTAGTGGCTAACTAAGGGTTATCCAGGGTTTATTTCATCATGATTTGGATGTGGGGTGTGTTAAGGTGGAGGTGGTATGGGATCCCACGAAGCCATGGTCAGGAATGACATCGCCAGATCCGTGCTTATTTTTGTTTCAGCAAGTCCCTCGTGATCCGTTGCTGGCTGGTCCTTCTGGATGTTTTAGAATACGCAGAAGGTCTTGCTATCGAATGTTTTTCAACGCCTTAAAGGACAACTGGAAGAAAGTCTATGGAGCTCTCAGCTTCGGGTTTAAGGTTTAGGACTGTCACCTTTGGCACACTTGTTTTACGGTTCGGCTATTGCTAGATCTAATATCCAGTGAGTACGGGCTACAGTGGTACTTTGTCGTTCAGTAAAGCGGCTTTCAAGAAGCGGCAGTTATAGCGCCCAGTACCTCTTGCGGTGACTGTTTCTGCAAGCAGGTAATTGTAGTGGGGGCTAAAGAATTACCAATTATCGATGTCCCTTCCGTAAGTATAGTACATGGTACCTCAAGTAGGCTTCAAACTGATGCAGGTGGTCTTTTAGGCCCTATAGAGTATGGCCCAAGACAGCTGCATCGCGCCCAAAGTGCTTCAAAAAGAGCACCCAAAGCATCCCAATACTCTAAGACTCTAAGTCCAAACCCCAGGCCCTGCACCGGAACCCCCGAATCCTTCGTTCAGTTTCAATAGAGATCCAAGTACACAAATAATCTTCCCCAAAGTTTGTAGATATTACCTACATTAGGCCATTTGGATCCTCAGGGTTCTGTAAGCTCCAAAACCCAGAACGTAATCTTCGCGATCACCAGGCTCAGGCCTTTAACCCTAAAACCTTCAAAGCCTAAACTCTACATTCTAAGACCCTAAAACTTGGGTACTGCCCCCACCTAGTAACAGCCTATATTAGGGGTCCTATTAAGGGCTATATATAACCATATTATAATTATCCAACTGTTACTGAGGGGGGGCAGTACCCAACCTAAAACCCTAAACCGTAACTTTTGCGAACACCAGGCGCTTTGCCTCCAAGTGCCATGGGCCCGTTTGCAAGCTGAGCCGGCCCTGCTGGAGGAGCTTAAGGATTAGGGTTTAGGGATTATAGGGGTTATAGAGCTTAGGGTTGAGGGTTCAAGGATTATATGGATTATAGGGCTTAGGGTTAAGGGCTTAGTAATTCTGGGAATCATAGGGCTTCTACGGATTATACGGCGTCGGGATGAGGTTTCAGGGATTTGGGGAGTGTAGGGCTTAGGCTTTCGGGGGTTAGGGCTTGACTATATGAGCTGGGATAGTAATTACCCCATAAGGTTTGGGGTACAGGATTCAGGGTTCCCAAAGAAAATGGAAAATGCAATGGGAATACAGGGTTATATAGTTGTGTAGAAGGATTATGTGAGCTAATGTCAGCATTGGGGTTAGCCAGGGATCATCAAGGGTGGACACAGGGGGGCTCGCTGTTGTAGTGTAGTATAGTCCCTAATAAGGTATTCCTAACAAGGACCCATGTCTATTAATGACATGAGGAAATATTGGCTGTAACTCATACGGAGGGCAGGATTAAGGTTGCAGAGGCGATAGGAAGCTCCTTATAAGGTTTTATAGGGGTATAACGGAATATATAGGGGCTAGGGTTTCCAAGAATTATTCTTGGTTTTTGGGGGAGGTTTCCCAATAACGAGGATTATAGCACTTTGGGGCTTGTGCTGGGGTCGCCCTGTCCATGGAAACGGCTAGACAGAGAGCAGGGTCTGGGTTGCAAAGGCTGTGGACTTTAGAATTGAAGCGCTTACGGTGTGCACTCGACAAGAAGTCAGAATGCCAACCCTGGCTCTGAATCCTCTACCCCCGCACCCTCCCATTGCAGACGATGGAATCGATGAGCACATACTTTGCATGCTGAGAGTCTGTTTTCAAAAAATCGGAGGGCATGTGGGAAGCACCTCGTCCCAGCAGCAGAACCGCATAGAGACCGTTGGAACGAAGCCGGTTCAGCATTTTATGGAACTACAACCATCCAACAACGTCCCGTCGTCTGTCGGAAGCAAGGACCTGGACGACAATCAATAATTGGGTTCCTGAACATGTCGTTTGTTGTGGCACGTGTCCCTTTCCAACCGGACGGTTGTCTTCCTACCCAGGACCCAACGGTAAAAAACACAAGAATATACTGAAATCTTGAGCCCCAAGCTGCGTGCGATCTCTGGCAAACCCGGAATTTGACAAAACAAACCTCGAACCCAATAGGTCCCAAAACCCTTATAGAACAATTTTCAATCTAGTAAGCCCAGAGCCCTTCCTAGAGACGAAGATAGGGCCGCGAGGTCCTGCAGACGTCAACGTCTCGGAGTTTGGCGGCTCAGGTGCTTGCTGCTGTAGGGGAAAGCTGCATTTATTGTTTTGAGTTTAAGGGTTGGGGGTCGGGTAGCAGTAATTGCCAGAAGGGACGGGTGGCTAGGGCGTTACACAGTAAACTCTAAACCCTGAACCCTATCTTTAAGAGATTAGAGGGGCTTTGATGGGTTTTCGAGGGTGGAGAATAGGCTTCTAGGATTCTTGGGATTGGAAAGTTTCAGGGGATGTAAGGGTGCAGGTTCAGGGCTCTGAGCTTATGTATTGTAGTACATTATAGTAGATTGTAGTTTTGTCATATATTATAGCCGGTCATGGTATATGATTCTATGTTATAGTATATTATTCTATATGGTAGCATATTATAAGGGTTTGGGTTGAGGGTTTGGGGGGGGGTACAGGCTGTATGGAAGTTGTGGTCTCTAGAAGGGGGTGCATGTGCTGTACGGGTTTCGGAGTTCACGGTCCTGGGCTTGCAGCAGCTTGGGATTAAAATCAGGGGTCGCGTTTCAACGGCAGTAGCCCTTATAGCGTGCCTAAACCATAAACTCTAAACCCTAATTCCCAAACCCTAGGGGAGGGTAGGGTCATCCTCGCAATGCCGGCCTTTCACTGCTCACGCGCCCCATCTTCGCGGGAATGAAGTCTTCAGTGGGACTCTGAAATCCTAAGCTCACAGAAAAACAAATCTTCATTATGGACTCCTCGTTTGTTATAAGAGAAATACACCTCTTTTGGGGGTACCTGACTTTCTGCCTAGTATTATAGGGTTCAGGGCTTAGGGTACAAAATCTGGTACCCGCGCAGAAGGGGGTAGGGTACTGTCGAATCCCGATTAGTATGGGGGTTCTGATTTGCGTGAAGCCTCAGCAAGCTTAAACACCCTTCGATTCGTTTGGGGGGGTGCGGATTTGCACGAAGTTGCGCTGCCCTAAACTTACGATAAGGTAGGTCGAGTAGAAAGTAATGTGCTTCCTAGACTATCGGTAATTCCGTTTCACCTATCCTTTCAGCCTCAAGCACTAGGGTCCTCATCCAATGTGTTCTTACCAGAATGTCAGATTAGCATTAGAATGTTTGCCTCAAGGATCTTAAAATCTTACCGGTTATCAATCCCTATATACACAAACCTAGAATCCCCAATGGCCTCGCTTGGCTTGAAACAGTCATCCAACTTCAATACATCAGTTGGGGCTGTTTGTTGCCCTGGGATTGCTGTCTGGCGCAGTGAACTCTGCTTCCATCAGTGAGGTCTTCAGTTTAGGTGTATAGGGCTCAGAGTTTAGGGTCTGGGGGTTAGAGTTCAGAGTACAGGGTTTTGGGTTGAAGGGCCTGTACTAGGCTGGTTTGAAGATGATGCTAGTGTGGCTGCGTGGTGCCTAAACCCTACACTCTTACATTCTGCCATTGTGTAGGGTTTCGCGGGTAGTTATCCGGAGGGTACCTCATAGTAGGCCTAGATTACCTTTAGCTGTACATGCGCCTCCTGCTATCCGCCTGAAACTGGTCTTGATGTAGTAAACCTACCCTAAGCCCTATCCTAACCCAAACATAACTGGCCATGCTGAACCCTAAACCCTAAACAACCCTAAACCCCATACCCTAGACCCTAAACCCTAATCCCTAATCCCTATACCCAAAACCCTAAACCCTAAACCCCAAACCCTAAACTTTTTTGTTTGGGCAGGTTGCCGCAAGCGACTCGGCGGCTAGGCTGCTGGAGTATGGCGCGGTCCTGGAGATGGTGGGGCCCCGTTTAGAGTTTAGGCATGGGTTTAGGGTTTGGGGTTTGGGGTTTAGGGTTTAGGGTTTTAGGGTTTAGGGTTTTGGGTTTTGGGTGGTGGGTTTAGGTTAACATTACACATAGAAGGTTGGGGTATAGTATCACATTGGATTTGGTTTGGGGGGCTTAGGGCTTAGGATTTAAGGCTCAGGGGTTCAGGGCTTCGGGGTTTAGGGCATCATAGCAGAGAAACAAATGGAAAAGATCGTGCAAGATGCAATGGAAGTCGGTGTATTGTACCATGGTTAAAGGCTATATAGAAGGGTTGAACAGGGACAATGCCGGTAACTTCTTTGATGTTCAGAGGGTTTTGGATAGTGCTACCTCTAAATTAGGACGCTATGACTGTATCATTTGACTTTGCTAGGGTCCTTGTGGGGGGGTTACCAGGCTTCTCTTGTTACAAGTCTGATCCTTGACGGTAGGGGGAGAGTTGAGGATTCAAACTTTAAGCCGGGCTTTGAGACTAGAGTCGCATCTTCTAACTGGTAGGGTAGGGTTGTGTGGAACATAAAATTTCACTGGGACCTTCTTCCATTTCCTGCGCCGGTAGCTCTAGGGGTTCAGAGTTCAAGGTCGTCGGGTGTGGGGGCCTACGCTGATCATGAAGCGCCTTTAGCCCCACACTTTTTCAGCACGGTCTGTTTTGAAACGGATGTTTCCTTGACTGGAAAGATTCGTCGCCGCAGGACCCATGGCCAGATTTTGGGTTTTCCCAAAACTAGTGGTACCTTATGAGCGTTCCCTATACTATGGTCCATAGTATCTGGGGGTCTATTTTGGGTACCTCTATGTAGGAAAGTACCAAGTTTCTAAGCCCTAAACCCAGTTCTATGGGCTATGGAAAGACCATTTTTGCTTCGCGGTGGCATTGCCGTAGGAGGAAGGGGACTGTATAAAGGTAATATAGGGGAAATATGGCGAATCTATTGTAAAGGGTGTATATAGGGATCTCTGTCCTCGAGTGGAACAACTTTGAAATTTTTAGGGGTTCTAAAAACAGATTCAGGGCCTAGGAGTTAAGACTTGAGAGATTAAGGGCTTTTAGGGAGTAGGGTTTAGGGTTCCGGATTTCAGGTCTAGGGTTAGGGTTGGATTGTTTTAGTCTGTTGTGGTCACGCATGATATGTGGGGCCTCAGAGCTCAACCGAAGGTTTTGTTAAGAGAGTGCTAACGCTCAACATGGCTCTGCCTGATGACTTGGACTTGCAAACATGCCAGGTCTACAGCATGATAGACGCTCTCTGTGAGCACATACAATGTTGTGCCGGAACTCCATGCTCCATGATGCAGTGGATCTTGAAAGTTCGAGAAAGCACCACTGCTCTCTCCATTGGGTTTCTCATACTGGAGTTTGCTCGAGACAAAAGCATTTCGAGCGGAGTGCAGTCTTTGCGTCTCTGAGCCGCCTCATGAATGTGCCCGCTTCAATGTGGACCCGCGTGGCGGCATGTTGCTTCATGTTGCTTCTAAACTCATATGACGTACAACCAATATTTCCTGCATAGTTAATGGACATGGATCCTCATTAGCGGGAAATAAAGAATTCAAATAAAGTACCACAACACACTATGTCCAAAATAGATGGTCCCTTGGTAGCCCTCACAGCAAGGAGAGGTTGCAAACCCATGTATATGAAGCTTGTCAAAAATCTGCCCTCCGTTGCGCTCTTTAGTATAATACAACCCCTAAGCTATAAGGTGCCCCAGAAAGTTGCGATAAGTTAGACAGTCTTTAGATCATGTGTCAGTCTGAGTTCGGGTTTTTCAAATTTGGGGAGGGTCTCAGGTTCAAAGTAAGCGAAAACTTTTAAGCTGTGGCCAGGTTATCGACTATATGGTGTACAGTTACTACAGAGGGCAACGCTTCGCGTGAAGTCATAAGGGGACCTAACTCGCTAACAATATCGCTTGGAGATTTTCTAGGCACTCTATATATAGAAAAAAAACTAGGACAATAAGATCACTAAGTATTTCCTACAGCGCCCGGGCTCAAGAGTTTACTTGGGTTTGGGCCGCAGAGCTCTGACGGCCAGCCTCAGTAGCAAGGCCAAACAACAGCTTGAAGCCTTTTTGCAGCGGTACAGCGCAGAACAGAGTGACTACAAGGATATTTTCTTGACTCCAGCCTACTCCAGTGAGCGAGGTGCCGCCCAGCACGCTGTGGGCGCAACCCCATGCCTGCGGCCCGGAATGCAGGTGTGGTGCAATCGGTGGAACACCCACACCCACACAACTACGTATCCCGGAGGGTCCATGCGCGTGTCGAGTGTGTACTTCGAGCCCACAGGGGTTCCCATACAATTACTTGGCCCCAAGCAAATGCTGTGTAATTAGCTACATGGACCCTTTGGGCAGCTGCATCTTGAAATGATGCACAGGAGCTAGGTGCAGAAGGCCACGTGCTTCGATGAGAGCGCGCGCGGCCTTCATCGCAGCAGGATTATCCCAGCAAGAGTCCACATTTCTTTCGTATACGAGCGAGAGCCTCTGCTGCAGGGGCTCCGCATTTATCCTGATTTTCAGGACAGAAGCCCATTACGAGAGGTTTGAGATTCTGGGGCTACCCCCTTGAAGAGTGACCTCCCAAACAGGCAGCCCATTCAGACCTATCACCTTCATTGCAGGGTTGGCTAGGTGCCCTCAAGCGACAGTCGAAAAAGAACCCGCATCGCAAGCCCCCGACCCTCAACAAGACAACCATCAACCGGTAGGGAAACAGCCAAGCAGTAACCAGTTTAACCAGGTAATATCCTCAACCTAGAGCCTACCTAGACTTCAGACTTCATAAATGCCCAAAATGCCTCGGTATTCACTGCTTAGGAGGGAGCAAAGGATGGTGGTACTCTACGCATTTGGGAGGTCTACTTGTTGAAGGCCTTTGATCTAGCACGTTCAGGAGAAGCCGTATGATACAATGAGCGCCCCCCGCGTAAACCCTAAGCCCGACCCGAACTCAAAGCTTTCCTGCGGATGTCTGAAGCCTAGAGCATCCATGAGAAGCGTGCTTTGCAGGTTGATGAGCTGGCGAAAGAGATGGCTGTTGCCCGGTGAACAACCATGGCATTCATCAGGCCAGGCATTCTGCTCCTTAACAACTGCGTGCAGAAATTGCCATGTCAGGCAAAGGTGTGCCGATCCTGAGCTTTACTGGACAAAGACATTGGAGCACTGGGGCGAGAAGCTGCCATGCCTGATGAAAACCGTGGCTCAGCTGCCATACTGATTATTTTATTGTCGAGCTGCCGGGTGTTGACTGCAGATGCTGAATTTCAAGTGCTTGGGTCAGGTGCCGGTGTTGTTGTATTTCTGGGCTTGAATGTCTGAGATCGAGCAGGATTTCTCACACTCGCAGATGACTCAATCTGGCCGCATATACCTGGGGCCTCACTGACCTCATGCGTGCCGTGTTCAAGGTCTTGCTTGATGGGCCAAAGCCAAACGATATCGCGCCCTTCACCAAAGATGGCAAGTACGTGGTGACTGAACGAAGGTGGAGCGTTCAGAGGACATGCAAGAAATTGTTTGATTCAGGGCAAAACCAAGGAGAAGCAGCTAAGCTACCTCGTCGATGCCTGAAGGTAGCCTTCGAAAAGGTTTGGCTTGCAGCTTGCGAAACCGACGCTGGTGAGAACAACATATGCCGCACACGGCTAACGAAACTGGATGAGATGGAGGCAAAGTCCAAGCAATCTGCAGAACACCTGGCAGCCGTAATCAAAACCAAGAAGAACATCGGGAACATGGCCAAAGCACTGGAGAGAAAGCAGGCCTGAGCTGTGCCAGATGATGTACTACAGAAAAATCCCTTTGCACTTACTTCGAACTGAGTCCAGGCCAAAAAAGAGGAAGTCATTGGTCTGTATACCAGGAGGCCATGACAAGAAGGCGCCTGCCAAACTAAAAGCTGATTGCAAGAAGGCAGAGGAGAACGTAGCTATCTGGGTGGCTCTGGCAAGAAATAGCACTGGCTGAAGCAGCTTCCCCTGCTTGCGACGGGCATCAATCCACCCAGGACCAGCAACCCAACCTCCTAGAGAACATTGTTGTCCAAAAATCATCCGGCCTGAAGCATCGGGGCCAGCAGATCTGTACGATTGCATCCACTTTTGCTTCTGGTGGCATGAAGCGGACACTTCGAGCATCCCGTGGCAAGCTGATGCTCGACGAGCCTTGGCTCAAGTGAGTTGTATTGTTTGTTATGGTTCTTGTTTGGCACATGTATTCTGCAAACATGCCAAGGAACAAGAAGTGGTCACCAGTGGTCATGTCCACGCAGATGTCTGACAAGACAAGGCAGAAGGAAAAGAACACATATTTCGAAAGCCTGGCCTGCCCTGCCGATTGGAATCGCACATTTCATTGAGATGATTGGTGTGGGCATCTCAGTGTGTAACGGATCCCCTCTATGCAACTCTAGTCTTCAGCAGCTGCTTGCCAAGGTGGAACCAAAAGCAGAGTCCTGCCTGAAGGTGAAAAAAAGAGTGCTGCACACTTGCCTGCTTTGCTGTGTGCTGTCTGATTGACCATGGTTTCTGCCAGGTACTGTGTCATCATCATCACCATCTTTTTCCAGCGCTTGCCGCCCACCTCCACCCCCTTCTTCTGTTTTGTCGTGTTGTCTTCTCTGTGTCTTTGTCTCTACCCCTTCTATCTTTTGTTCTCAATCGGTTAATGCTTTTCAATATTCATGAGATACCTAGAGTCTAACATTTCAGGTTATAGAAACGCCAAAGCGTTCTTTTTTTTGCTAGCCACTCGGGGGCAGAGGGATTATGTTCCTTCATTCTAATTCTATTTGCCTGAAACTTCTCCAGGATATCTTCAGACGCCAAAGCCTTGCTGTCGGAATTCTCGCTGACAGGCCCCTAGATCCTAAACCCACTCGTGATCCACTGCAGCAGCATCCTGTGCTCAGTCTTTACAGAGACATCAAGGTGCTGTTCATGCTAAATCCTGCGC